GAACACTATCGTGTCGAGGCTTTCTGAATGGTCGTCATGTTAAAAAGATATATTCGAGCTTAATGAAAACAATCCGTTCACATTTCTCAACCGATGTTATTGGCATGTGTGTCGTTATACGTGGATTGCCATACTATATTGAATTTTGTATTCTTTTTAGGTCTCTTCATTTTTCACAACAACGCTTCGATTGAGTAATCTGTATTCCGTGCCTGACACATGCGTTGAATGATTATTTACCCTTCGTCATATAGGTCGCGAGTTCTCGCCTTCAGTGCATTAACAAGCTTATTTGTCATCGGGGACTCATTATGCCTTGCGACACTTCGTATCGGAGAGCTGAAGATCCAACTCTGGCAAGTACTGGATGAGAATTGTCATGTGGAAATGCACAACCTCTCTACGTGCTCTCCAGATTCCAAACATGTAATTCGCGACGACGTCTTCACTTCCAACACGCCTGCTCGTAAAAGAAAGAGAGAATTGAAAATCGATATCGCTACTTGCGAGAGCACCTCCCCTGCCGTTCAGCGGCAACGACAGACATATGAATCCGATGTTGCATGTCGTAGAGCTGACGACTGTGACACTGACACTTCAACATCTGATGCGACGTTATTCCTTGTTCATAACGATTACTCGGCACGTGCAAGCACATTTAATGCTGATGTGCGTTGTGTAGCTGAATTTTGGAGAGCAATTACAGAACAGCCGACGTTGAAAGTATTACTTGATGGCCTCGTTGACACTACAATCATGTATGTCCGACATCTGCTCTTGCGGGAGTATGAGAGCGTAGATGCGCACGTAGAATACAGAGATTCCGCACATCATGAACAAAATGAAACCACTGTTTTAGGAAACTGGACAATTTACAATAGACGATAGTTAGCTTGTTATGATGACAATACCGTAAAGTAGATCGTTTATTGACTTACTTAATACAAGAATTCTATCAGACAAAGTCCAGATACCATGAACTGGGTTGCTTTAAATTTTGTTATGTGGTTGTTTTTTAAATGACGATGCTTGAAGATGTACGGGAACCCTGTATGTCATGGACAAAATGTATCGCTGATCAGTGTTTTGGAAGTTAACTAGGTCGAAAGTATGATCATCACGGTTACCGTACAAGGTTCGAATCTTTCACAGCAAACAGGGGTGCTATCTGTCCGGGGACATCGCGAAGGTTTTTTTTGCTTGTGCACTCAGCTTGTTTAAAATTTGAAATTAAAGTGGCAAACTCGGTGAATCAGATGTAAGCGTTGGAGGCCTCTTTGCAAGGCATATGATAATCGCCTATTGCTAAACATATGATAAACCTTTCAAAGACAATTTTTCTTTCGCGATCTTCAATAACATGTAATTACTGTCGACAATAAGTTTTCCTTTGTTAACAGCTTGAAAGTCATGTTTTTTGTCGATCGTTGTTATATTTTTCATATATCAAAAATCACCTTCGGCCCTCTCATAAATGTTGTTGACGTCTGTTTTGTCCGTTCCCTGATTCATTTTCGTATGTTCACTTTTCGTAAAACATTTCATTTTTAACGAAAACATCGTTGCTCGCAAATTGCAGTGGGAGCATGGATGCTGTGTAGACCGACATAGGCATTCTTCACCTTCCAGTATAGGATGCGTCTGCACCACGCCTACACATTCTTGTTCCTGAGCATGCTCGTGTAGTCCGGCATAGTCATTCCCCACCTTCTAGTACCGGATGCGTCTGTACCACGCCCACAAGTTTTCGTTCTTAAACAGTCTGTACCTTTTCCAGGCAAATAAAAAAAGCCCGCCGGTTAACATGGACGACGCCCCCACACAGGTCTCGCCGGCCAGGTACGTCCCAAATGCTTGGCGCGCAGGGCCCACGGGCGATATATGGGAAAGGTACTGGTGGATAGTGGTGGCTTAAGGTGCACTGATATATTACTTCAGAGCTTGTCTATGATGCGGTTCCTGTATCACGCCGCAAAAGTATCATATTATGTGGGACACACTTTCACAGACAGGAAGGAGACCTTGGAAGTCAGAAGAATGGCAAGGGAGGAGGAGGTCATGGTAGGAGATGGAGGAACTTACCGCGGTGGAGCTTGCGAACCGAGGGGGAAATTTGAATTCAGAGTGACTATCCCAGATTGCTGCGCGCCTAGGGCATGGGTATTCTGCAAAGTTGTTCCCCGTATAGGCAGGATAAACCGGGTAAAACAGGGTGCATGCCCAGGCACCAATGAAGAGGTGGAGATTGCAAATTTGAGCTCCAACCTGACATGGTCATATCGCAAAGAATTCAGGCCAAAAGGGCACTCCCCTCTACCTGCATCTTTAAGGGGCAGTTTAGCAAGGCCATGTATCTCAACTCTGAGGGGTATAATGAAACTTTTTCCTTTTTTCGTAAACCAAAAGCAAAAAAACTTATCAAGAATCATGGACCGTTGTTGATGCTTAACCATAACCAGGGTTATCATAATGGTGGATTATCACTTTCAGTATCATCTGCTTGCGTTCCGGCCTGACAGGGGGTCATATCGTAAAGAATTCAGGCCAAAAGAGCACTCCGCTCTACCGACATCTTTTAGGGGCATTTTGGCATATATCTCAACTCTGGGGGATATAATGCAATTTTCCCTTTTCTGGTAAAGCAAAACTTATCAAGAGTCACTGACAGTTGTTGATGCTTAACCATAACCCAGGTTATGGTGGATTATGACTTTCAGTATCGTTGATTTGCACTCCGAGTTCAGTCCAAAAGGGCACTCCGCTCTACCCGCATCTTTTAGGGGCATTTTTGGCATATATCTCAACTCAGAGGGGTATCATGCAAGTGGGATGTGTCCAATGCAACATGTGGGCGGGGATGTTGCTATGCCAGAATGAGAGCGTAGGAGACGAGAATTGGGCGTCCGCCAGCTCCAGTCACCAGGCAAGGGCGCGGCGTCCTCAAGGTGCTAGGTCCCTGATTTCACCAGTTTTTTGGCAAACTACTTACCAGGCAACATATTGCAAATATGGGGCTTCAACCGCCAGGCGCATGGTCCCACTTGCAACGGGGATTGGATTGAGATCCTGAATCTGGGCATCTTTAAGGCCTTGATGCAGAAAAGGAGTTCAATCTCGATTTTCTGCACTTGTCCACAAACGCGGCCACATTAAGGCGTTCAATCCAATACTTTTTGCTAGTGGGACCTCGCCCCAGCACTTGGCCCAGCTATGCGCTGCTGAAAATAAAAGAGTAGAAACGTTTCTAGTCGGATGAATTTGGGCACTCCTGTAGTGGCCCATACGTTTCCTAAAATCGTGGCATGTTAACCAGCACTACTTTATCAGTTAAACCACCAGTACCTAGCCGTTAAGGCCCGTGGCTCAGCCTACTGGTATCCCGAACCTTGCCGAGCCTCGAGCTACAGGTAGGTACACATGGGAAGAAAAAAAGAAGACAAAAAAAAAAAAAAATTGACATTCTTCTGCAAAAAAAAAAAGAAATTGAAAAACAAAGATATCCGTTTGCACTTTCCATCTTTGGGTCGCGTC